CTTTTTGCCCGCGGCGGCCATATTGCGCACGCGTTTATGCGAATACCACTTTTTCATCAAGGCAGTGCGACGACGGCTATCCGCACTTAACCGGGGATTGTGCTGAAGACATCCCCGGCGAACCTTCCGCCGGCAGCGGTTGGTTCGGGCGAGAGGTTGCGACACATCGAGAACAATCGTAGGCGAATCATCAAGTCCTCTGAAAAGGCATCGGCCGCCGTCACGGATGCGTCGCTCAATGGATGGGGAGCCGTTATCATTCCAGACCCCGGCGACGTTAAAATTGCCGGAGGAGAGTGGAAGAGGAGGCCTTTTCTTATCATGCAGGCCGAGGCGCGCGCGGTACGCTTGGCCTTATCGGCCTTTTCCGTCATCTTGCCGTCCACCATGGACGTTTGGGTGGACAGCACTTTGCTGCGGGGAGCGGCGAATAAAGGCAGCTCAAAATCACACGCCATGATGTGGGAGCTGCAACGGATTTATGAGTTTTGGAGTCTTGCGGAGTACAGGCATCCTTTGCGTACCTGCAGTCTGCGGGGTTTCCGCAGACGGCATATCACGCGGTCGTGTTTTTATACTTTAGGAATTGGCGAAGGGGAGCGGCGGGGTCTTGTGGCTGCAGGACCCCAAAGTGTGCCAATTCTTAAGTTGTGAATGCACAAACACACGCATATATATTATGCGTGTCTAATCCGCATAGAGGGATCACGTCACGACAGTGGCTACCATAATATGCATATATAAATCTGCACTCAATTGGTGTAAACGCTCATTAAAGACTTGGCGAACCCCCGCCCCCATTCCGTTCACCCCCTCTCATTCCTGTCATGTGTGGCTCCTATTGGCAATTTCGGGATCCGGCCAGCGGCCCAGAAGATCATTCTGAAAGTTTTATTCATCTATTTATTTGTTTTTTCTGTGTTTGTTGTGTCCACCCTTTGCTTTTGCTCAAGTTGTTCCCTGTGCGGGGTCGCGCTGCGCCTGTTTTCTTTTGCCCATGCACCGTTACGGATGGGGGAGCGGTGCGGAAGGTGCTGGCCAGTGTGGGCCCGTGTGTTGGACTCACGAGGATCCCTTTTTTATTTTGCGTTGGGGACGCTGGAATGTTGCGTTCCTTGTTGCGTGCACAGTAATTACTCCTCGTATGCATATGTGAATCTTTGCGGGCCGGGGTCCTTCCCCCCTTACAAGGCCGCAGGGATTGTTTCTTGCGTGGCATTTTGCCCGATCCTCTCAAGAATTGTGATCATTCGACTGGGCGTTCCTGCGCCCCTGGAGCTCTCTTTTCACACCGTCGTTGTGCCTCTCCCTTCATTTTGTCTCTACCACGCGAAAATAGTGGACTCACACGCTCTACCGCACGACGGGTGATATTATGGAAGCCGAAGCAATGGGCATTCGAACGCGCTCTGCGACAAGGAACGCGGTCCGGTGGATGGTGCTGTTCCTCCTGCTGCAGTACCTGGGCAGCCATCCCTCCTTTACTGCTGCAGGGGAGGAGCACGTGACCATTGGAATCACGAAGTATTTCCACCACGCCCATTCTGTATTTAAGACCAATTTTGGTTACCGCGTTGATTACACTAACTCTCAGGTCTCTTGTTTTAATGGTGGAGGCCTTCTTGCTTCGGATCAAACACCTGCTGCACATATTTCTATCGCGGCTGAGTTGAGAAAGCTTGCATCCAAGAAAGTTGAAACATTCCGTACGTACCTTGGCGGGACTGCCCAGTACACAGCGGATTCGGCGCCGTCCGAACAAAGGTGTCTACGTGGTGAGCGTCGGGCATCGTTAAAATGTATTTACAAGTGGAAAGAGGGTGCGTTTCTCGACTCCTCATCCGATGGTCATGGTGTTTCGTTTTTCAGGGGTACAATGTATACGCTTATTGGCGCGGGGCCAATGAACGGGTACGATGCTTATTGGGGCAATAAGTTGCCTGGGCACGGCCAGTTGTTCTTAATGCTTCGTATGGATACGAGCCAAAGCGATAAGAAGGCGACGTGGTATGACGGGCAAGGTGTGCCCAGGTACGATGGAGAAACGCCCGAAGACACATTTGGCGTTGTCTGTGAGACTCAAGAAGGGTACGTCGTCAGCACTACGACGCTTCCACCGACTGTGGAGATTTCGTGGGTGCGGAAGAATTGGTATTTTGTCTTGATTGCAATATTGGTGCCGGTTATTGTTGCCGTCGCGCTAATCACTGTCTGCTTCTGCCGTTGCCGCGGTGCTGACGATGAATCGAAGTGGGTGGTGCACATGGTCTTGCGGGAGGTGAACGGCAAGCCCCTTCATCCAATTGACGGGGATGATGGAATCTACAACGATAACAGCCCGATGATGCGCTATTCAACGTTGGGTGATGGGGTGCCCATGAATACTCCCTTTGCATACGAAAACGTTGAGGTCCCTAGGGTGATAAAGAATCAAGAAAACACTGTGTACGATGACGGGGATGTGTTTTAGGTTTTTTTCTTTTTTCATTGTTTACGCCTCTTTGCCGCATTGTGTGTATGTACACGTGTCTCTTGCAGTTCCTGCGTGTACGCCCACGGTTTTTAGTTTTAAAAAAGACGAGATGTGTGGGGTAATGCAGTGGACGCTGGGAGCAAGGAAGCATCGTGTGGAAAAAGCGGATCCGAAGACATGATTTATTTCCACCACTCTTTATTTTTGTTTTTGTTATTTTTATTTTTCCCTCCTCTCAGTGTAGGACTGCGTGCGAGTAGGCGGGGCGCCCTTTTTCTCGCCAGCATCTTATCTTTTTCCCTATTTACCCTGGCGGCAAGCCTGCTGTGGGAGGAAAAGGAAGGAAGGAAGGTGGAGGAGAAACGTGTCATTGTGAATGTGTACAATAAGTCGTTAAAAATGTGCCATTAGAATGGGGAGAGTATTTTTTTTCATTATTTATTTTACTCCGAAACATGTGGAAAGAATGTGCGTCACGATGAGGCTGAGCAGATGATAAAGTGGATTAATTAACTGCCCCGTTTCCTTTACGATTGTTGGATTATTTTTTTGTAATTGAGCGCGAGTTGAAATGTAGGTGGGTTTTGTTTTTTCGTTTTTGCCTTTTCTTTCTTTGTTTGATTTCCTGTTTGTTTTTTTTTTTGTTTTTTTTTCTGAATACAATGATATGTGGCCTAAGTGGTTGAAGGTGGACTCTGTTTGGTTGTCATTCTTAGGTCTCATGGCACGCGGTGAGAGTGTGGGTGTCAAGGAGGGCCCGGCAGCGGTGGCGGAGTCGCTGACATCATCGGGAAACGTCATGCATGCGTCACTTGTCGGCGTCACGGTGAAGGACGCGACGCTGCAGGAGGATTTGGAGTTTGCAGCGGGTGTGTTAAGACGAACCGTGGCGCAGATGATGCGTGTGGGTGCTCAAAAAAAGTTTCTTCCGAGGTCGGAGAAGTTGAGAATGAAGACGGCACTTGTGCTTGACACAATTCATCGCATGGAGGAGGGGATGGATGCGTGAAATGCGGGGTGGAAGAAACACCGGTGTGATTTGAGTTTTGTACCGTTCAGTAGGAAAGAGAGAGAGAGAGAGAGAGAGAAAAAATTTCCTCTGCGTGCATGTGCATGGGTGTTTGTAATGTGCCTTTCACACCCTTGTAGAGAGGCATGTGAAGGAAACTCAGTGAATTCTATTATTATTATTGTTATTTTTTTTTTTTTTTTTCTTTTAATCCGTTTTTGTGCACATTGCATTTGCGGTGCATTGGCAGCAGCAAAGGAGGCATTCAAAGCGCGCGTAGACTCATTGACTCCAGCCTACGGGGAAGGAAAATTAGGTGGTATCAGAAAGAAAGAAAGAAGAGCAGCTATTTCAAAGGGGAGAAATATATATATACATATATAATTGATAGTGACTGCTTTTCCTTCTTTCTTTTTTTGTCAAATTGTACGACGGCCATCGCGTGGAGTAAGTTAAAGAGAAGCCTCTTCTTTGTTGTTGAGTTGCCATCACGGTGGGGCGAGGAGGGGTGCAGAGCAGAGGCATACGGCAATACGTAAGCGGAAGAAAACAAAATGGGGCAGCAACTCCCAACCGACACGAAGCGTCAGCAACAAAAGTGGCAGCCTCCTGTGGCTTCTGACATTGGAAAAAAGAAGAAGCGACATGGTCCGGACACGGCAGCTAAGCTGCCAAAGATATATCCCGTGAAGGCTTGCCTTCTCAAACAGTTACGGCTGGAGAGATGTAAAGACTACCTGCTACTTGAGGAAGAACTTTTAAAAACGATTGGGGCTCAGCGGGAGGCGCAGGAAAACCTGGAAGAGGGTGCGATGTCACATTATGAGGCTGAACTCAGTAGGGTGGATGCGTTGCGCGGGATGCCGCTGGAGGTGGGGACACTTGAGGAAGTCATTGACGATACACATGCTATTGTTTCTACCGCCGGGTCCGAGTATTATGTTCCCATGCTTTCTTTTGTAGACAAGGAGAAGCTGGAGCTTGGTTGCAGTGTTCTGCTGCACGACCGCCAGCACAGTGTTGTGGGTGTATTACAGAATAGCATAGACCCACATGTGAGTATCATGAAGGTAGAAAAAGCACCGCAGGAGACGTACGCTGATATTGGTGGTCTTGAGGAGCAAATTCAGGAAATTAAGGAAGCGGTGGAGTTTCCATTGTCCCATCCAGAGCTTTATGACGAGGTGGGCATTAAACCACCGAAGGGTGTCATCCTGTACGGTGTGCCGGGTACTGGCAAGACACTTCTAGCCAAGGCGGTTGCAAATCAAACAAGTGCGACGTTCCTACGTGTAGTGGGATCTGAACTCATTCAAAAGTACTCTGGTGACGGTCCAAAGTTGGTGCGGGAGTTGTTCCGTGTTGCGGAAGAAAACAGTCCTTCTATTGTTTTTATTGATGAGATCGACGCCATTGGAACCAAACGGTACGACACGGACAGCAGCGGTGCGAAGGAGGTACAACGCACAATGTTGGAATTGTTGACTCAGCTCGATGGGTTTGACAGCTCGAATGATGTAAAGGTCATCATGGCGACAAATCGCATTGAGACGCTGGACCCGGCTCTTATTCGGCCTGGTCGCATTGACAGGAAAATTGAATTTCCGTTTCCCGATGAAAAGACGAAAAAAATGATATTTGAGATTCACACCAGTCGTATGTCGCTAGCCGAGGATGTGGATATCTCAGAGTTTATTCACGCCAAGGAGGAGATGAGTGGTGCGGATATTAAAGCCATCTGCACGGAGGCGGGCCTGTTGGCACTGCGGGATCGACGTATGAAAGTGTGCCAGGCGGATTTTGTCAAGGGTAAAGAAAATGTGCAGTACAGAAAAGACAAGAGCAGCTTTTCCAAGTTTTACCTCTAAAGAGCAACCGATTTTTTGAAAAAAAAAAAAAAGAAAAGAAAAGAAAAAGGGAGGAAAGCATGAAGCTAGAGGGTCGTTGCGAAGAAGGAAACCACACACGCACACAAACACACGAAGGAAAAGAACAAACAAACAAAAAAAGGAGAAAACCCATATTTATATTGAGAGAGAAGGAGGGAGCGGAGAGAAGTATGAATGGTGCGGGAAGGAAGCAACAATGAGGAGAATGGGAAAAAAGAAAAACAGGAATGAAAAGAGGGAAGGAAGAACGACAAATCCTCCAAAAGAAAGAAAGAGAGAATGCGTATGGGTGTGGGGGTGTTTTTGCGTGAGGAGGAGCACTCTATTTTTGTCGTGGGGACATTTCCTGCGCAGTGGGAGCACCAAATGTTTTTGGATTTATTATTATTATTATTATTATTATTATTTGCAAACACCACACAATTAACTTCAGAGATGGGCGGCATGAAACTCCATTATTTTTATTTTTATTTGCATTTGTTATAAAATGCCGTATGTATCACGTGCCGACTGCGCGAGGTGTGCCCGATGCGCGTTTGACTGAGAGGGCCTGGAATGGGCAGCGGTGCGACAAGAAGAAGCATGAAAGAAGAGATTTTGAGACATGGAGAGAGGGAGAGAGATTCATGCATGCCATTTCTCAGCCAAGCGAGTTTTTTACCTCATTGTGGGGTAACTGTGCTTGTGTGTTTTATTTTGTTTCCCTCCTTTTTTTTTTTTTTTTTTTTGCACCGCTCCGTGGCTTCTTACGACTCCACCCTCCCTCTTATCAAACACAGACCTCATCTTTCAGATGACACATGCAGTCTGTGTGTTTGTACTGTTTGTGTGGTGCTGCTCCTATCCAATGGAAGGGCGTACGGAGGGCAGTACTTTTTTTTTTTTTTAATTTTTCTACTTCTCTCTCTCTCTCTCTTGCAAGAAGGAAAGGTTGGGTGAGAGATACCTGTCGTTGAATTATTCATATTTTTATTTTTATTTTTTTTTATTTATAGACCGATATATTTGTTTTTGTTTTTTTTTTGTTTTGGCGATGCTCACGTACGTAGTTGCTGCGGTCATTATTTTACTCACGGTATGTCTGTTCTTTAAGAAGGGTGTGTTTTTCTCCTCTTCCATGGGAGTGGCATTGGATGCGTCTAAATTTCAGAACTTTAAGCTTGTGGATAAAATTACTGTGAGTCACAACAGTTTTATCTTTCGCTTTGCTCTCCACTCGCCCACACAGCGACTTGGACTTCCTATCGGACAACATCTTCACATTCGATGCATGACCACTAACCCAGAAGGAAAGCCAGAGATGGTGCAACATGCGTACACTCCTGTTTCCTCCGACGATGACTTGGGGCATGTGGATTTCCTCATTAAAGTATACTTCAAGAACGTGCATCCCAATTTTCCCAACGGTGGCCGTCTATCGCAGCATCTGTACGATCTTCCACTGGGCACGATGGTGGAAATACGGGGTCCTGTGGGAAACTTTGAGTACCTGGGGAAAGGCAATTACACTGTTAAGGACGGGAAGGGCAAATTGAAAAAGATGCACACGGACGCCTTCACAATGGTGGCGGGAGGGACGGGTATAACACCGATGATGCAACTGATTCGTGCCATAATGAAAAATAAGGAGGATCGCACAAATATTTTTCTTGTCTACGCGAATCAGACCGAGGATGATATTCTCCTGCGGAAGGAACTGGATGACTGTGCCAAGGATCCACGCATGAAGTTGTGGTACATGCTGGACCGTGAGACTTCCCCTCAATGGAAGTACGGCACCGGTTACGTGGATGAAGCGACGTTGCGGGCACATGTTCCTGTGCTGCAGCCCCGGAATTCCGACTACAACCGTGTCGTTGCGCTGATGTGCGGCCCACCACCGATGCTCCAAAAAGCCGTGAAGCCAAACCTGGAAAAACTCGGCTACACCGCAGAGGAGATGTTCTCCTTTTGATGGAAGTGGGATGAAACGCGGAGTTCAAAGTAGGGTTGAAGAACGCAATTGTGGCTTCACACACAATAGAAAGACAACACGTAAAAAGAGAGTGGATGCAAAATAACAATAATAATAATAATAATATCTTCCCAGCGGTTCTAGCAAAAAAAAAAAAAAAACAAAAGAAGGAGCGGCGGCAGCAAAAGGGGAGAAAACACAAAAGAAAAAAAAAAGAGGGCAAGCCGTTGTTGTCGTCACCGGAGGAGTCATTAACAGTTGCGAGGGGACAGGCAAAGCAACACCAACGACAGCAAAGGGAGTTGTGACGTGGAGGGGGAGGAAGTTTTGTCTCATAAAAATTACATGGCGCAAAGTCATGACTTGTGTTTTTTGTTTATGTGTTTATTACTTCTTCTCTTGTTGTTGTTGAAAAGGGAATGGGAGGAGGGGGAACGTACGAGAAATACGGGATGCCCATGCCGGCGGTAGCAAAACCAACCAGGGGAAGAGAGAGAGGAGTATGGGATGCAAACAGCCCATGAAACACGCACAAAAACAAAACAAAAAAAAAAAAGAATGAAGAGGGGAGAAAAAAGAGACATAAATTATAATGTGTGGGGAGGAGAATAAAAGAAGATGGAAAGTAAATATATAATACATATAAAGGGAACTAATGAACAAAAACGAGAAGGGGGAAGGAGAGAGAAGGGGACGCATGGAATGATAACAAAGGATACATGTAAAATATATATATATATAGAAGGCACTTGTTGTAGATTCACTGGGGAATTTTTTATTTTTAGGTTGAGGGAGATGACGATAACGGAAAAATAAAATATTTAAATTCTATTATTTGATTTAGCTTTTTTTCCAGAAAAATGTGGGAAGAATGTGCGTCACGATGAGGCTGAGCAGATGATAAAGTGCATTAATTAACTGCCCCGTTTCCTTGACAATTGTTGGATTATTGTTTTGTCAGAGGGTCTGTGTTGAATTGTGGTGGGCGCCTTTATTTTTGTTTTATTTTTTCCCACCCGCTGTTGCTGCCGCTCTTCATGCGGAGTTGTCCGGCGGATGTGAAGCCCAAAAAGACTGCCGCTTCCTCATTTCACTACGAGTCCGGTTAGGACAAAGTATGATTTATGTGTATTTTCTTGTTTGTTTGTTTACTTGTGTGTGGGTGTTGGGTCAATCTTGTCTGAAGTGTGGGGGATGTCGGGTGGTGCGGTGAGCCAAACTGCCACCTCTCATTGTGGTGTCCCGTTTCTGGGAATATGTAGCACAACATTACTTGGGCGCATGGTCAACGGTAAGAGACATGCCGTCGTGGCGAGGACGGCGGTTCACTTCATGACGAAGGACAGTAAACGGCTCAAATGATAACGAGGCCAGCTCATAAAAATGACGCTTCCAAATTTAATAAATCGACGGTTTTGTGGCGCACCGTGTGACGTTACTGCAAAACGCGTTTCAGCGAAATGATTTTCTTCTGCATAGACGTGTTGGCGAGTCGCCGTTGCCGGGATGAGCCCGATGATCTAGCGGAGTTGAATTGCCTCCGCAGGGGCTACGAATGAGGCCCTTAAATCTTTCACACCATCACGAAAGCCAAAGTGAAAGACCCCGAGATGGAAAAATCGCAGTTTGCGGCTGTAGGAAGGGTGATGAATCAAGTTTGGGTTAACAATGTTCGAAACAGCTGCCTGCGGAGAGGCGCGGTTCAGCGTGGCTAAGGGGCGGATGAGACGTTACGCCAATGGGAGAACACGAAGTCCTTACAAGGAGGTATGAATCAATTGGCGTATCTTTCCAACTAAAACACAAAACAATTCGTTTAGAGCATGAAGAAAAGACAATTCTGGCACACCTTTTTTTCTCCGAATTTTTATCTTTTGGGGGTAGAAAGGGGAGGGGAAATAAAGGACAATCCCCCCCGCACCATTTAAGAGATGAACGGTACAAAGGAATTGCTGCGCACGCGGTGTGTATGGCTGTCTTTGTTTTCTCCTGCTACTCCGCTTTTTGTGCTTCATCCTGACGCAATACTAGTACGAAGCCATTTCCTTCTTATTCCGCCTTTTTTCCTTTGTCTCTCTCTCCTCCCGCAGTCAGGCTGCACTGCTGCTGCTGCCACTCACACGAAACCAATAAATGCGATTTGCTCAGACCATTCGCCAGCCACGCCACGCCGCTTCTCCCACTGGTGGTGTTGCTGCTGGTGTACTGCGCCAGCGGGGTGTATTGTCGCTGCACCCGCTCTGGAGCTTCGCCGTGGATTTGACACGGTGAGGAGGCGGGGCGCGTTGCAGGCGTACACCGTCGCCACACAGATTGACAGCAGTGGCTGGGAACCGAACCGCATCGCGGTTTCCACGGAGGATCTGGAGAACACGAACAAGAGAAATTACTGCGAAGAGGGAAGGGATGAGTGCTACAACGTCTTGGGGGACACAATGACTTGTAAAGTCGAGCACCCCTTGACGGAAGAAAGGAGGCATTTGCAGACTGAGAAGATTATACACGGTGCCGCCCAATTGCACGCTGAGTTCTTCTCCATTTCTTGCGCGATGGACCTCCATCGCCAGCGCAACAGGCGGCGAGGTTGCTGTTGCTGTTTCATCTGTTGTGTGTTCCCCACTGATACTGCGAGGTGCGGGGGTCGGACGTGGCGGCGGTGGGGCGAAAATAAGGGAGGAGGAGGATGGTGCGTGCGTGCGGGAGGGCCATGGGGATGCATGTTGCGGTGCGCGGCAGAGGAGGGCAAGGGAGGGTCCCTGCGGCGTTGGAATGCAGTGCACTGTTTGCGGACTCGATGTGCCCCTTTGTTGCATGGTGTGTCTTGGTGTCCCTTTCTCGAGTGTGTGATGCCAGCCGGCTCTTCACGATTGTGGCGATGACGTGTTGACAGCGGTTTGGGTTGGCGGTAGCTGTTCCGCCCTCTGGGGCTGCGAGGGTGGATGCGTCACAGTGAGCTACACCAATCGCGCACGACGTCTCGTACGCAAGCAAGTGGTGCAGCGATTGCCGACGGGAGGCGGCCCTCTTGAATTTTTTGACCCTCTGGCAGTCTGCAGTCTCAGCTTGAGTCGTGGTGGTCTTCTTTTTTTCCACTCCTTCCTTTTGTGCGTGTCCGCAGGCAATTACGGCTTCGCGCACACGTCATGTACACCAGAGTGCATGTGGAAGACTCTTTTGTCTCCGGGGCTGGCAGTTTAGTGTGGCTGCTCTATTTTTTCTTGGCCGTGAAGGAGAGAGACACGGGGAGAGCGTCATGCCGTTTTGCTCCCTGCAGCTGCAATGCACTCCGTACGGTCGGTTGGGGTGAGGCGCCGCATGCCGTTGAGTGTGGGATGGCAATGGAATTTTGGCGCCCATTTATGGAAGGCTGAGAACCGACTTCCTCGCGTGACTGGTGAGTGGGTGGGGTGACTGCTGGCGGTGTGTGGGCGTGTGCGGTCTCGCAGTCTGTGGGCTGTGGCTGCCTCTTGCCATGCTGTGTGCTCTCTTTTTGCGTGTGTCCATGCTGCGCCTCTCTCCCTCTCTCCCGTTCTGTCATTCACTTCCCCACTCCGTGTGCAGATTAGCGGACTGACCCCAGCACCACTAGGAAGGATGATGACTACTGTGATGACGACGACTGCGCTGCGCCGTGAAGTGTGCGCCCTGTTTTCCCTCGCGCTGTTGTGCTGCTGCGCTTCCATTTTCGTGACGGCTGCGACTGCGACGGTAGCAGCTGTACAATCAACTGATTTGTATTCCGGAGCGTCTGCAGTGAACGTTTCGGTGGAGATCTCGTGTGCGGACAGTGAGAATAAGTTGCAATGGCGCTTCCCTGGCCAGACAAATTGGACTAGGTGTGTAAGCTCACTGGGTGCTTATGACTACACTGTTGTCGCGAGCAGTGGTGGTTATGAGGACACTGCTGTCGTAAGCAGTGGTGATTATGACACTGTTGGTCAGGAGAGCACTGGATACAGTGTGGGTACACCATCTGATATTATTGAAGTTGTTCTTTTGGATTCTACAAGTGGGGCTTCTAGTCGTGATGATGAGTCACTTTGCCTCTCGGCCGACCGGATGTACTTGACTAAAAAATGTAATGCATCCTGCAAGTCCGCCGGAGAGGGTAAAACCGCGTTTACAATGGAATTTCAAACGACTAACGAAAGTGGGGTGTACAAGAAGTCGCTGAAAAATAAAACAGAAAATAATGCTCCTGCGGGAAGCACCTCGGGCATCTGTCCGTTAAAGACTTCTGTTGAAAAGGCACCTGAGAGCGTCAAAAGTGAAACTCCAGAGGCCGCTGCAGCGGCGTCGGCAGCACAAGTGACAGGAGTGGAGGCGCCCGCAGCGGGGCAGGATGCAGGCAGTTCGAGTTCAGCTGCGAGTGGGGCCTCATCATCGGCACAGACTATTGAGCAGGGGATATCCTCAGCGGGCCCACAACCCGGCAACACTTCGCAGCCGCCAACAGGCGAAGGGGTTGGCAGAACGGATGCATCCGGAACGACGCAAACACCCTCAGCCACGGCCGGTGCTGCCTCACAGTCCGGCAACCCGACATATACGAGGGAGACCAACAACAGTGCCGCCACCGGAGCGCAGGGTCCCGGCACGTCGGACGGCAGCGCCATCGCCACTGCGTGGGTGCACACACCACTGCTGCTGCTTCTGACCGCCCTTGCATCTGCTGCTGGGCAGCGGTGCGGAGCAGCCACACACGAATGATGAAAGGTGCGACTCGTCCCCTGTATGTGTGTGTCTATTCTGCCTGACGCCCTGTGGGCAAATCCCCCACCCCAATTTAGGAAGTGTTTTTGCTATTTTTGTTGCTTTTTTTTTAATGGTTCAATTTTTTTACTCTTTTTTTTTTTTAATCTCTCATCCCTCTTTTTTTGCTTTCGGGGGCAATCAATATGGAAGTTCTTTTTTTCTACTCTTTCCTCTTTTAATTGTTTCTTCTGCACTCCTTCTGCGAGGGGTGCCGTGTGTTTCCCGCCCAACTGCTCCACTCGCACACCCACCGACACGCTCACGACGACGGCCCTGTGCGCCTCGCCTGCTGCACGCACGAGGAGGGGCCGCGACGAACGGCGCGCTGAGGGAGCCGTGACGTGTGGGCGTGCGACGAGGGCCTGTGGGGCGGAGCACACATTTCTTCCCTCTTGTTTTGTTTCTTTGCGGCCAGGGCGGGCAGACACCCGCAGCGCCACACACACAGCCACACCCTGCCGCTTTAAGAAAAGTAATTTTGCTTGCTCTCTTTGACTGTTTTTCTTGTTTTGCGTGTTTTTTTCTTTTGCTGCGCTCACTCTCCCGATGAAGTGACGCGACTCCCGTCATGTCTGCGTGCTTCTCTCAGTCCCCACACACACGAGTGACTGTGCGCTGCGGGCCGCACTCGCACGCCGATGAGAGGGCTGAGGGGAGCAGCAACACGCAGATGACCGCATGAAATATAAACGATGTGCGGACACACGGAGGGTCGGACGGTTGAAGCACACGCAACCATCTTTTTAATTTTCTTTTGCGGGCAAAAAATATATGGACAGTTTGGTGGGAGCACACAGTAACCGGGTGTTTTTTTTTTTTTTAGGAGTAAGAGCAATGGAGGACGACTTCTTCCTTGCGTTTTTTTCTTTTTATTTAATTACTTTGTGCGGGGCTGGGAGGATAATGGTGAAAGGGGAAGTTTTTTTCTTTTTTTTTGTAATTGTTTTAAATAAATCTTGTATGACTCGCCACTGCTTGGGATGCAGTGCAATCATGAGTTTGAGCAGTCTTGTTACTTCTACCATGCGGCTCTGCTGTACATTTTGTTTTTGCGTTTCTTTACATGCTCCGTTTCTTTTTTTACTTCTTTGCCTCGTGTTTCTGCAGGCACGCACAAGCACACGCACACAGAGTGCAAATCACGGTGGATTCGGATGGTTCTTTTGCGGTGCGTGTGGCAGCAGCGTGTGGGTGCTGCTTTTTCCCGTGGGCATGAAGCGAAGGGAGGAGAGAGGCAGCGCGCAGGGCGAGTGTCTCTTCCTGATGGTGTGGGGGCGCTGCGTTGTGACCGCATGGAGTGAGGCGCCGCGTCGTGGATGGATGAGGAATCGCTTCCGCGTGTGGCTCTTTTGGTGATTGCTTGCTCCGTGTGCGCTGTGTGTTGGCTGCAGGGATGTGGCCATATCCGTTGGCTGTGAGAATGGGCTGGAGGAGGATGAGGTTGTGGATCTCTCCTTCTTGTCCATGGTGGGGTGACTGCTGGCGGTGTGTGGGCGTGTGCGGTCTCGCAGTCTGTGGGCTGTGGCTGCCTCTTGCCATGCTGTGTGCTCTCTTTGTGCGTGTGTCCATGCTGCGCCTCTCTCCCTCTCTCCCGTTCTGTCATTCACTTCCCCACTCCGTGTGCAGATTAACGGACTGACCCCAGCACCACTAGGAAGGATGATGACTACTGTGATGACGACGACTGCGCTGCGCCGTGAAGTGTGCGCCCTGTTTTCCCTCGCGCTGTTGTGTTGCTGCGCTTCCATTTTCGTGACGGCTGCGACTGCGACGGGGGCTGCTGTACAATCAACTGATTTGTATTCCGGAGCGTCTGCAGTGAACGTTTCGGTGGAGATCTCGTGTGCGGACAGTGAGAATAAGTTGCAATGGCGCTTCCCTGGCCAGACAAATTGGACTAGGTGTGTAAGCTCACTGGGTGCTTATGACTACACTGTTGTCGCGAGCAGTGGTGGTTATGAGGACACTGCTGTCGTAAGCAGTGGTGGTTATGACACTGTTGTTCAGGAGATCACTGAATACAGTGTGGGTACACCATCTGATATTATTGAAGTTGTTCTTTTGGATTCTGCAAGTGGGGCTTCTAGTCGTGATGAGGAGTCACTTTGCCTCTCGGCCGACCGGATGTACTTGACTAAAAAATGTAATGCATCCTGCAAGTCCGCCGGAGAGGGTAAAACCGCGTTTACAATGGAATTTCAAACGACTAACGAAAGTGGGGTGTACAAGAAGTCGCTGAAAAATAAAACAGAAAATAATGCTCCTGCGGGAAGCACCTCGGGCATCTGTCCGTTAAATACTTCTGTTGAAAAGGCACCTGAGAGCGTCAACAGTGGAACTCCAGAGGCCGCTGCAGCGGCGTCGGCAGCACAAGTGCCAGCAGTGGGGGCGCCCGCAGCGGGGCAGGATGCAGGCAGTTCGAGTTCAGCTGCGAGTGGGGCCTCATCATCGGCACAGACTATTGAGCAGGGGATATCCTCAGCGGGCCCACAACCCGGCAACACTTCGCAGCCGCCAACAGGCGAAGGGGTTGGCAGAACGGATGCATCCGGAACGACGCAAACACCCTCAGCCACGGCCGGTGCTGCCTCACAGTCCGGCAACCCGACATATACGAGGGAGACCAACAACAGTGCCGCCACCGGAGCGCAGGGTCCCGGCACGTCGGACGGCAGCGCCATCGCCACTGCGTGGGTGCACACACCACTGCTGCTGCTTCTGACCGCCCTTGCATCTGCTGCTGGGCAGCGGTGCGGAGCAGCCACACACGAATGATGAAAGGTGCGACTCGTCCCCTGTATGTGTGTGTCTATTCTGCCTGACGCCCTGTGGGCAAATCCCCCACCCCAATTTAGGAAGTGTTTTTGCTATTTTTGTTGCTTTTTTTTTAATGGTTCAATTTTTTTACTCTTTTTTTTTTTTTTCTAATCTCTCATAACTTCTCTTTTTTGCTTTCGGGGGCAATCACTGTGGACGTTTTTTCTTTTCTACTCTTCCCTCTTTAATTGTTTTTCGCTGCACTCTTCCTGTGGGGAGTGCCGTGTGTTTCCGCCCAACTGCTCCACTCGCACACCCACCGACACGCTCACGACGACGGCCCTGTGCGCCTCGCCTGCTGCACGCACGAGGAGGGGCCGCGACGAACGGCGCGCTGAGGGAGCCGTGACGTGTGGGCGTGCGACGAGGGCCTGTGGGGCGGAGCACACATTTCTTCCCTCTTGTTTTGTTTCTTTGCGGCGAGGGCGGGCAGACACCCGCAGCGCCACACACACAGCCACACCCTACCGCTTTAAGAAAAGTAATTTTGCTTGCTCTCTTTGACTGTTTTTCTTGTTTTGCGTGTTTTTTTTTTTTGCTGCGCTCACTCTCCCGATGGAGTGACGCGACTCCCGTCATGTCTGCGTGCTTCTCTCAGTCCCCACACACACGAGTGACTGTGCTCTGCGGACCGCACTCGCACGCCGATGAGAGGGCTGAGGGGAGCAGCAACACGCAGATGACCCCATGAAATATAAACGATGTGCGGACAAATGGAGGGTCGGACGGCTGAAAGACATTTAAATACCTTTTAATTTCTTTTTTGTGGGCAAAATATATATGGACAGTTTGGTGGGAGCACACAGTAACCGGGTGTTTTTTTTTTTTTAGGAGTAAGAGCAATGGAGGACGACTTCTTCCTTGCGTTTTTTTCTTTTTATTTAATTACTTTGTGCGGGGCTGGGAGGATAATGGTGAAAGGGGAAGTTTTTTTCTTTTTTTTTCGTAATTGTTTTAAATAAATCTTGTATGACTCGCCACTGCTTGGGATGCAGTGCAATCATGAGTTTGAGCAGTCTTGTTACTTCTACCATGCGGCTCTGCTGTACATTTTGTTTTTGCGTTTCTTTACATGCTCCGTTTCTTTTTTTACTTCTTTGCCTCGTGTTTCTGCAGGCACGCACAAGCACACGCACACAGAGTGCAAATCACGGTGGATTCGGATGGTTCTTTTGCGGTGCGTGTGGCAGCAGCGTGTGGGTGCTGCTTTTTCCCGTGGGCATGAAGCGAAGGGAGGAGAGAGGCAGCGCGCAGGGCGAGTGTCTCTTCCTGATGGTGTGGGGGCGCCGCGTCGTGGATGGATGAGGAATCGCTTCCGCGTGTGGCTCTTTGGGTGACTGCTTGCTCCGTGTGTGCTGTGTGTTGGCTGCAGGGATGTGGCCATATCCGTTGGCTGTGAGAATGGGCTGGAGGAGGATGAGGTTGTGGATCTCTCCTTCTTGTCCATGGTGGGGTGACTGCTGGCGGTGTGTGGGCGTTTGCGGTCTCGCAGTCTGTGGGTTGTGGCTGCCTCTTGCCATGCTGTGTGCCCTCTTTTTGCTTGTGTCCATGCTGCGCCTCTCTCCCTCTCTCCCGTTCTGTCATTCACTTCCCCACTCCGTGTGCAGATTAACGGACTGACCCCAGCACCACTAGGAAGGATGATGACTACTGTGATGACGACGACTGCGCTGCGCCGTGAAGTGTGCGCCCTGTTGCCCCTCGCGTTGTTGTGCTGCTGCGCTTCCATTTTCGTGACGGCTGCGACTGCGACGGTGGCTGCTGTAAAATCAACTGATTTGTATTCCGGAGCGTCTGCAGTGAACGTTTCGGTGGAGATCTCGTGTGCGGACAGTAACAATACGTTGCAATGGCGCTTCCCTGGCCAGACAAATTGGACTAAGTGTGTAAGCTCACTGGGTGCTTATGACTACACTGTTGGTCAGGAGATCACTGAATACAATGTGGGTGCATCATCTGATACTATTGAAGTTGTTGAGTTTGTTACCATTGATACGGTAAGTGAGGATCCCAGTCGTGTCAGTGAGTCACTCTGCCTCTCGGCCGAACAGATGTACTTGACTGAAAAATGTAATGCATCCTGCAATTCATCCGTTTCGGATAAAACCGCGTTTACAATGGAATTTCAAACGACTAACGAAAGTGGGGTGTACAAGAAGTCGCTGGAAAATAAAACAGAAAATAATAATCCTGCGGGAAGCACCTCGGGCATCTGTCCGTTAAATACTTCTGTTGAAAAGGCACCTGAGAGCGTCAACAGTGGAACTCCAGAGGCCGCTGCAGCGGCGTCGGCAGCACAAGTGCCAGGAGTGGGGGCGCCCGCAGCGGGGCAGGATGCAAGCAGTTCGAGTTCAGCTGCGAGTGGGGCCTCATCATCGGCACAGACTATTGAGCAGGGGATATCCTCAGCGGGCCCACAACCCGGCAACACTTCGCAGCCGCCAACAGGCGAAGGGGTTGGCAGAACGGATGCATCCGGAACGACGCAAACACCCTCAGCCACTCCCGCCAGTGGCAATGGTGGGTCCTCCGGTGCAGCCACGGCCGGTGCTGCCTCACAGTCCGGCAACCCGACATATACGAGGGAGACCAACAACAGTGCCACCACCGGAGCGCAGGGTCCCGGCACGTCGGACGGCAGCGCCATCGCCATTGCGTGGGTGCACACACCACTGCTGCTGCTTCTGACCGCCCTTGCATCTGCTGCTGGGCAGCGGTGCGGAGCAGCCACACACGAATGATGAAAGGTGCGACTCGTCCCCTGTATGTGTGTGTCTATTCTGCCTGACGCCCTGTGGGCAAATCCCCCACCCCAATTTAGGAAGTGTTTTTGCTATTTTTGTTGCTTTTTTTTTAATGGTTCAATTTTTTTACTCTTTTTTTTTTTTAATCTCTCATCCCTCTTTTTTTGCTTTCGGGGGCAATCAATATGGAAGTTCTTTTTTTCTACTCTTTCCTCTTTTAATTGTTTCTTCTGCACTCCTTCTGCGAGGGGTGCCGTGTGTTTCCCGCCCAACTGCTCCACTCGCACACCCACCGACACGCTCACGACGACGGCCCTGTGCGCCTCGCCTGCTGCACACACGAGGAGGGGCCGCGACGAACGGCGCGCTGAGGGAGCCGTGACGTGTGGGCGTGCGACGAGGGCCTGTGGGGCGGAGCACACATTTCTTCCCTCTTGTTTTGTTTCTTTGCGGCGAGGGCGGGCAGACACCCGCAGCGCCACACACACAGCCACACCCTACCGCTTTAAGAAAAGTAATTTTGCTTGCTCTCTTTGACTGTTTTTCTTGTTTTGCGTGTTTTCTTCTTTTTTTTGCTGCGCTCACTCTCCCGATGGAGTGACGCGACTCCCGTCATGTCTGCGTACTTCTCTCAGTCCCCACACACACGAGTGACTGTGCTCTGCGGACCGCACTCGCACGCCGATGAGAGGGCTGAGGGGAGCAGCAACACGCAGATGACCCCATGAAATATAAACGATGTGCGGACAAATGGAGGGTCGGACGGCTGAAAGACATTTAAATACCTTTTTAATTTCTTTTTTGTGGGCAAAATATATATGGACAGTTTGGTGTGGCCACAAGGCAGCCGGCAGCTTTTTTAAATTTGTGTGGAACAGCAATGGACGATTTCTTTTTTATTTATAATTATTTTGTGTGATGGGGTTTGTATAAGACGAAGGGGAAAGCTTTTTTTGTGTTTTGGATAAATTTTGTGTGGATTGCCACTGCTTGGACTGCGGTGCAATCGTGAGTTTGAGCGGTCTTCTTCTTGTTGTTTCGCCATGCGTCTCCGCTGTACATTTTGTTTTTGCGTTTCTTTACATGCTCCGTTTCTTTTTTTACTTCTTTGCCTCGTGTTTCTGCAGGCACGCACAAGCACACGCACACAGAGTGCAAATCACGGTGGATTCGGATGGTTCTTTTGCGGTGCGTGTGGCAGCAGCGTGTGGGTGCTGCTTTTTCCCGTGGGCATGAAGCGAAGGGAGGAGAGAGGCAGCGCGCAGGGCGAGTGTCTCTCAGTGTGACCGCGTGGGGTGAGGCACCGCGTCATGGCTGGGTGAGGATCCGCTTCCGCGTGTGGCTCTTTGGGTGATTGCTCGCCCCGTGTGCGCTGTGTGTTGGCTGCGGTGTGTGGCCGTATCCCGTTGGCCGTGGGATTGAACTGGAGGTGTTGACGGTGTGTCTCTTCTCTTCCATTGGTGTGTGGCTGTTGGGGGTGTGCGCGTTTGTTGTGTGGAGGGCCGAATCTTCTCACCCGCGAACTGACGGCACTGCGATGGTGTTAGTGTTTGAGAGGGCCGGTGTGGAGTCGCCGGCCAGGGTGAGGGCCGTGGCGGTGGTTTTCTCGCTTGTCTTTTGTTCCTTCCGTGTGCTTTGTGCTGCTTCTTGCTTTTCCTCCTCTCACCTTTTTCTCCTGTGTTCCTGCGTGGAGTGGCCGCATGCTCACGGACCATTTTGATTATGAGTGCCTCTTGACGGCATCCATCCATTTCCCTCTCTTACTGTCTGTCCTTTCCTGTTGGGTGTGAGGCGTGTTGCACTGCGTGAGGGCTGGCCCGCACACACCGACGGCCCGCCGTGACTTGCCGTGTTGCTGCTCTTTTCTGTGTGCGATGGTCCTCCGTGCCGTCCCTTCCGGATTGTCTCGTGTTCCGCTCTATGCGTGGGCACTCTGCTCTGCTCACCGCTGACGTGTCTGATGTATTGCCGCTGTCGCTGTCTCCTCCACTTGTTGAACACACACATAGAGGGAAAACAAGCGCGAATCGCTACTGTGAAATTCGAAGGCACTGAAAGGACCAACAGCACACACACCGCCCACACACATATTTATATGCTTTCACGTGTTGCTGCAGTGAAGGCACCCCGCACACACAACCGTCGCCGCGTGACCGGATCCAGCGGAAGGAGGAAGGAAGGAGGAGAGAGTGAGCCGCGGAGGCCCAACATGTCCCGGCGTGTGTTTACTTTTGCGGTGCTGCTCCTCCTCCTCGTGATGATGTGCTGCGGCACCGGTGGTGCTGGGAAAGCTGAGGAAAGTAATTCGGTGCAGCTCATTGATTAATTTGAAGGGATGATAATTATTTCTTCTGCTAAATAGGGCGAAGGTAATAATGATGTGAAAGTTACCTTGCTTCGTGCTCCCAGCTTTGTGGGTGTGAAGGGCGGTGTGTTTGCCACTGCTGGGGTTCAGTGCAGGGCAGAAGGCGGAGTGAGTGGCTGTGATGGGATTATGGCGAGGCGGCTGAATTTAAGTGGTGGTCCAATGGAGATCTCGATGGCGGACAACAGTGTCCCTTTTGCACGATTTCTGGGGGTGTTGGTGCTACGGATGGTAAGGAGGCAACAGAGATAATGCGGCCCACAACAGTTGTGAGTGGTGGCAACATCTACATGCCTCTTGGGGACTACGGCAAAACAAGTTCTGACACACAACCGGCTGACGCAAGCAACTGGAGCCTTTTGCTTGTGAAAGGGACCGTCACTGAAGAGGGTGAGAGCAAGAAGATCCGATGCAGTGGGGCCCATGCGGTTAAACCCGATGCCGGAGGTCGCACTAACTCCCTGAAGAATTTGAATGGTGGAGGAGGCTCGGGTGTTGCGTTTCATGGCGGCACGATTGTGTTTCCCTGCAGGCCACAGACGGGGATGGAAAGAGTGTTTTGCTCGCCGTGCAGCTCACTTCGTCGGATAATAAATGGAGGCTTTCGTATGGCACGACTGGCAGGGGCTGCGGGGATCTATCCGTTGTGGAGTGGGTAGCTGGCAAAAAACTTATTCTGATGTCTTCTTGTGGGGATGGCCAGCACCAACTGTGCGTGTCCGATGGGCATGGGGCGAGTTGGTATCCAAATCGTGTGTCGATTAATCGCGTGTGGGGCAACTCACATGATAGAAAAGGGTACGGAGTGCAGAGTGGATCCACCACCGCAGTCATTGCGGGCGAGAAGGTGATGCTCGCCGCCCTGCCCGCGTATTCTAAGGACAATGAAAAGGGTCGGCTCAATCTTTGGGTGACGAGCATTGTGCGTGTGCACGGCGTTGGTCCGATATCCCGTGAAGGTGATGACGCTGCCGCCAGCTCCCTGTTGGTGAAGGGGAATAATGACGAGTTGCTTTCACTGTACGAGAACAAAGAGAGGAGCGAGGACGGATCAGACGGTCATGTTGCTGTGCGCGTGGCGGCGGGGCTGGAGCGTGTAAAGGATGTGGCGAAGAAATGGACAGATTTGGAGAGCGCCCTGCAATGATGCAGTCGTACTGCCAAGGTTGGCTGGGCGGCAGCAAATGGCATGTGCACTGGTCCTGTTCCCACCAAAGGGCTGGTTGCCTTTTTGTCCGGCAGCTCAGCTGAGACCGAGTGGCGGGACGAGTACCTCGGCGTGGGCGCAACAATAAAGAACACGGCAGCGGCTGTTAATGGAGTGACGCCCAAAGGCGCCGGAGCAGGAGCGCAGTGGCCGGTCGACATGAATGGGCCGACTGTGCCGCATCACTTTGCAAACAGGGAGTTCACTCTTGCGGCGGCGGTGTCGATTCACGAGGTGCCGGAGAGTGGCAACGTCCCTTTGGTGGGTGTGGGGATGAGCGACCCCAACAGCACGGTGCTCATTGGCCTGTCGTACACCCACGAAAAGAATTGGAGCTTTATGACTCCTAGTGACGCTAATCCTGACGAGCCTGCTCTTTTTGACTGGAAACCAAACACGACGTGTCAAGTGACGTTTGAAATGAATACGGATGGCTGCTACGTGTTTGTGGATGGGAGGGGATTGTACATGAAGAAGGCGGAAGAGGAAAGCTTTGAAACCCTGCTGGAGAAACACAGGATCTCATACCTCTTTATTGGCTGGGGCAGTGCAAGAGGCACGGAGAGCAGCCGTATGACGGTGACCAACGTTATTCTGTACAACCACACAGTGTATGGTGAAGGGTTGGAGCAACTCAATGCAAGCACAGTCCCTATTCCACAATCGGGTGTTGCCAAACAGCAGAGGAAGCACGAGGGTGACCCGAGTTGTGGCGACAGCACCGTCCACTTGTCCGTGTCCCCGGTGCTATTACTGCCTGCTTTGGTGCTGCAACTGTGGGGCATGACGGCTCTGTGCTGAAGAAGGCATGGGGGGGTGGAGTGGCGACTCCCCGTGGGGAAAAAACTGTTCAGCTTTCCAGCAGCACGTACTGCATTTTGCCGAGGATTTTATTTTTCTGTTTTTTTCTTTTTTTGGCGCGGGTGCTTTGTTGGGTTAATAAGCACCTTCGTGTTTTTTGTTTGCTTTTCTGACCTTTTTCCAAAATCCTTTTTCCCCAATGTCCGTCTAACAGACACACCGTCATGAGTGACGTGTTCCCTCTTGTTTGCTTCTGCCACTCACACACGGTGCCGGCCTGACTGCTGTGCGTCCCACGGACCGCACAAAACGGGGATTGGAGGGGCAGGCCAGATGCCGCATGGGATGTGAGGGATGTTGTGTGTGGCCTTGGGGAACAGTACGAACTTTTTTTGTTTGTGCTTGCAATATATGTGGGCACCTATCCCCCCTGTGCTTTGGGACACGTGAAATGAAAACTTTTGCTGAGAGATGTTTCTTTTTTTTTTTTGTTTTTGTTTTTGTTTACTGCTTCTTTTGCTTGTGGTCTTAAGTTGCGGAGGGGTGTGGGTGCGGCGGAAAAGCAACGAAGAGGGCAGTTGGAAAATAATATTTCAGGTACGAAGGGAGTGGAAGGGAGTGTAACGGAGGCAGCATTAAAGAGGAATAGAGAAGGAATGAAGGCGTCTGTGTGTGGAATGCATTCCGTGGGGAAGAGGTCTGGTGTAAATGAGGACAGCGGAAGGGTTCAGGATGATACGACGTGCATGGTGGGTCAAGAGCTGAATAACGGTGTGGGTCAGAGGGAGGAAGAATCTGCAGATGTGCAGTTGTCACTCTCATTTTCAGAAGTGCGTGTTGGGACCCACACAGAGTGTGTGGATTCTTTGATGCGGAACCCCACTCCTACATTGTCGGTTTTTGGCGGTGGCACAACATTGGGAGTTAGTACGGACACTGAAAATGGTGCAGGGAACAAGGACGCCGCCTACCAACCACTCCGATTGCAGATTGCGTGGGATGGAGATATTTGCATGTCTCAGGTGGATGGCGTTTGTGTTATGTTGTCGGCGGAAGAAGCACAGGCGGAGGATGTGCACTCTGCTGCCCCTCATGCCAATTCCATCGACTCTGAACTCTGTCCGCTCGGATGCGATGAAAACAGTTCTGCAACAAGTTGGATGTTACGACAGAGGAGGCTACAGAATAGGGCAGAGCAATGGCGGCGGCACGAGGAGGAGTTGTGGCGACGAAGGTACGAGCAGTCTATTTCTCAGACTTGTGCGGCGACAATTGTGAAATTCCCCCCATTGACCGAGACGACGGCGTTACAGAGTCACGATGATGTGCATCTGGGAACCGATGAGAATGGTGACGTTGACGGCGATGCAGGCGGCTGTGATGATAGTACAGAGCCGCAAACTAAACGTTTCAGCACGGCAAATGGCAGGCGACTGCGCCGATACCGTCCGGAACCCATAAAAAGTGAAGATGATGACGTGGCCATGCCTCTTTGGCAAAAGTCTACATGTAGGAGAAACCCCTGATGCTGCTTGAGGTCTTTTTGTTTTTGTTGTTTTTCTCTTGTTTTGTTTTTTTTGTCAAACATAAATATAAATAAGTAAATATATAAATAAATATGGAAAACAGTGCCTTGTCCACAATTATACTTGCGAGCAGAAACCCTGGAGGTGTCATCAGTGTGCATGAAGCAGCCGCCTGCGATAAAGCCATGCCATGATGACGTTTGGAGGAAGCCACCTCCGTCGTTCCATTATTATTGGCTTCTGGTTGAGGTTTCATTTATTTGTTAGTGTTGTTGGCAGAGCTGGGGTGGTTTCTTATATGTAACGATGTTTTTTTTTTCCTGCTTTTTTTTTATTCTTGCTTTCTCTATTCTCTACTTGCCGTTGTTGAGTGAAGGGGGGCATTTTTCTCCTGTGGCTTCCCCTCCCATTTTCCCACACAACAAATCCCCATTCCCGCAGGAATTGCTTGATGAGTGTAGGGGAGTGGGAAAAGGCAAAGAATTGGAATAAATCCCCACCCATTTTTTTTTGTTGTTTATTGCACTTTGCTGCGATTGCTTTGCTCTTGTTGTTGTTGTTATGATGATGACGGATGAGTTGATTTTTGTTTGTTTGTTTTTTATTCGTTTTGCCCGTCGTGTGCGTGTTGTCGGGGCAACGCAAAAACGTAGAACACATATATATATATATTGACGGGCACAAACAATTATACAGCGAGGAAGGTGACGAGTAACACCGGTTCACAAAGAGAGAGAGAGAAAGTGTGTGTGTGTGTGTGTGTGTGTGTGTGTGTGTGTGTGTGTGTGTGTGTGTGTGTGTGTGTGTGTGTGTGTGTGTGTGTGTGTGTGTGTGTGTGTGTGTGGAAGGGACGACCATTTAAAATATATTTATTTATTTATATTTTGGAGTCTTTATTCCCCTTCTTTTCTCCCATCAGTGTGTTTTTTTTTTTCTTTCTTTCCTTTTCTTTTTCTTCTTCCTTGGTGTGTTTGTGTGTAGGCCTGCGCGTTGGTGATTCCCCTATCCGTTTACTCTGTGTCTTGCCATTCTGCGTTTATTCATTGCCTTCGCCATCCGCTCCATCGACGTTGTTTGCGCTCTCCTTTCCCCGCCGCTGCCGGTTTCACGGGGGCCGCATTATTCCCACTTTGTTGCAGGCCGCAGGGAAGCGAAGGAGGGCGGACGCACGACCGTTGGAAGCCAAGGGGGCGGGGAGGCACGTGACAACAAAATCGGCGGCGGGAGAAGACGAATAAAAACATGAGACAGGGAATGGTCGAAGGAGAAATGCAGGAATCGGTGGTCCCCCATGCCTCCCACGAGGCAGAAGAAGAAGAGAGTAGTGCCATGGTCGGCGGAGAACAGCGGCGACCTCCATGGAAGAGGGTAAATTCCTTTCGGGTGAAGTCATCCATGGGCGTTGAAGGTCCAACCGACATGGTGGGCAAAACAGATTCTCCTCCTGTTGCCACTACGGAGTCTGTATTCGATACAGGTGGAACGGAGAAGGGGAAAGAGGAACAACGCGAAGTTGGGGGGGACGCTGGAGAATTGCAACTACAACAGGGACAGAGACTTCTCACGGGAGCACAAAATGCTCCCCCCACGGTGCCGTGTCAATCTCATTCAAGAAAATCGCCTGTATTATTTCCTATTGCTGAACGTGTTGGGGCCCTCACTGGCTCTGTTATGCATGATATCATTCATGCCGAGATGAGCTTTCAGGGCCCACCGAAACTAACGCTGCAGCCACGTCCTCAACTGACACCACCACAAAGGCCAAATGCTTCTCGAGAATGGAATGTAACTTTGGCCTCTGATGTATTTTCCATGTCTCCAGGCACTGTCGCTTCTCGTGCTTCTTCTTTGAGGACTGGCTCGAATGGATCGCCTAATCCTACGCCATCGATTCCATGCATTCTGCCAAACACGTGGAGAAGTTGTCCAGTGCATAGCGTGGGCGGGTCCCATGAGACAGCAAAGCGTCCATGTGCCTTGCTTCAGCAGAATTGTCTTAAAGGAGGAATTGAAGTCTTGCCCGCGTCCTCCTTGTGCTCTCCGGTAGTGCTGAGGCTGCAGCCTCTTGCGAGTGCGGGAAACAGCGGTGGGTCATCCGGTATAACTAGCCATTATGTGCGTTCACAGAATTCGAGATGCTTGTCTGTTCCTATGCCGAGAAAAGTTTCCCTTGCTAGCACGGGGGACCCAGTTGAGAAGAGTGATGTGCCTAACTTTTTTTCACACGAATCCGTCACTTCCATGAATAAAAGCAGCACCTGTAGTACAGCCCGTAGCGGTGCCAATAGTAACGTTAGCGTGAAGAACTTGAATGGCACCTCAAATTTTCCACAACCGACGCAAAATTTGTCGTTTCCTTTATTATTGTGCTCAAAGACAAACGGTTTACGAAATTCAGAGAATTCCACGCGAAGTTCCCGGAATGACTGTGTTTATCGTACGCAGGCACGTTCTGTGGGACGGCAGGGTTCTTCACCCCCAAATGATTTAGAAAAGACTAATCCACAAGAGAAAAGTCCTTCCACCACCTCCCTGAGGCAAACAGGCGGCAGTCATTTCCCCAGTCCGTCACGTCAACAACAGGGAAGGAAGATGCGTAGTATTCAGGAGTTACTAGTGCAAGAAGTTGTTAGCCAGCTGCGTCTCTCGTAGGGTTTCGGTCTTTCTTTTTTTCCTTTTTTTTTTTCTTCTTCTTCTTCTTTGCTCTTTTTTTTTTTTTTTTTGTCTGTTGCTGGCGAATCCCTTCTTATCCCCCTCCATCTCCCTTCATCCAAAAGGAAAAAAAAAAAAGAAAAAGAAAAAAAAAGAGGAAAGGGATCCAATCGAGAAAAATATATATAAATATATATATATGTGGAACAAACTGCGTTGTGGTGTTGTTAAGCAGCCATTTGTATTGCATTTTATTGTGACGGGTGTGGATGTATTCGTTGCATTGATGTGATTTGTTTTTTAAGGGATATATCCATGGCACCGGTGCCCTCGCAGGCTGTATATAACATACACATACATATATATATGTGCATCAGGGTGTGGGAAGGGTGGGCCGAGAGAGAGAGAGAGAGAAAGGGAGAGAACAAAAAAGAAAGGAAGTAATGGGAGGGAAGCTCAAAAGAAAAAAAAAAAAAAAATGACAGGAGGGAATCTGCCAACGAGACGAATAAAGAGAGCCTTCTTTTTTATTTATTTATTTTTTTAGTTTTTCTTTTTTTTTTTTTTTTTGCCCTTTTTTTTTTTTTTCTTGTTGTTGTTGTCTTTCTTGAGTGTGAGGAGAGTGTCTGTCCTCCTACGACCGTCAGCGAATCGTTGTTGTTTGTTTGTGTCTTTTCCCCGCTCTCTCTTTTTTTTTTTTTTTTTTTTTTTTTGAAAAACGCATGCACGCACACAGTGAGAGAAAAAGATAAATAGAAGAAAAGAGAGGGTGGACAAATAAATAAATAAATAAAGACAGCGACGGAAGAGGGCTGTGAACACCCCGCAATTGACAAGAAGAAGTCAAGGCCACATTGACAGTAGTTTTTGTTTTCCTTCACGAGAATGACATCGTCTCTCAGTGGTGTTGTGTCAAAAGCGGCTCTTTTTGTGCGCCCCAAATATGCGCAGGAGCGGGAGTTGCTTTCCGTGATTAAGTTCAAGCTGCATGAGGCGGGATTTATTATCATCCACGAGGAATACCGGCGCATCAATGAGGAGTTGGCAGACACCATTGCCGTCCAGCTTGATCGTACCGCATTTCTCAGTGGTAGTGCCGCCCCATCGATTGCTTTGGAGGACGCGGCGACGTCTCGGCCCATGTTCACGTGTGAGCACGCGACCTCCGTTCCAACTGGGCAACAGGACCTTGTTGGACATGTATACTTGTATGTGCTGGCACGACGGGACTGTCATGTGGATTTGTTGCGGTTTCTCTGTCGTCTATTCGCTGATGAGGACTTTACATCGGTGCTAAAGTGCATTCGGGAAAAGGCCACACGGGAAGAGGCTACCACGGCAGCAGTGAAAAATGAAAGGGAAAATGAAGAAAAGTCCGAAGGATCACACATTTCATGTCCGGTGTTTTGTAATGCCACTGCCGTTGCAGCAAAGCAGGTGGTTCAGCTACTGTTTCCACGCATGTTAGCGCAGGATGTGCCAAGCACGGGTGCCTCGAAAGAATACGTGCAGGCAGAGCTGAAGGGCGCCCTGTTGCCTGCACTCGTGGAGTTGTCAAAGGCGAAACCCGAAAATCCCATTCGGTGGCTGGCGGAGCGGCTTCTAAACACCAACACACGCGCCCCACCGCTGGTTCCCGCGTCGAGCGTCAATGGAAACGGCTGAGTCGACAGCACTGGGGAGAATATATATATTTATATTTTTTTATATGCATATTGAGAGAGAGCGGCGGTAAAGAGGAAAAGAAGGGAAAAAAAAAATGGTTAGGGGAAAGCTGCCGTGCGGTGAAATGCGTCACAACCACCCGTCATTTTTCCACAATTGATGTAAAATCACATATCTGACAACTCTGCCAGAACTCTCCCACTTCTTCCCACATTTTTATGCGGAAAGGAAGAAGGTGGAAAGGAAGAGAAGAGAGGGGCAAGTGAAATTTGCAAAGGAGATGTTGATTACAACTAGGCGGTGTGCGTTGTCACCCTGAAGGCTATGGTGGTACTGGCTTCTTCTTCCCTTCTCTTCCAATGCCTTTCCTTTTTTTTTTTTTCTTCTTTTTTTGAATGAGGCGGATCACAAAAAAAAAAAAAAAGAAGGGAAAGGAATGAGATGCAGACAAATAGGCTCCACGTTCACGAAGCAGTTTCATCATTTGGCTGGGAATTCTTTTTGTGTTTTCCTTCTCCTGTTGTTGTCGCAAACGCTACTCGTGCGGGGAGGCGTACAGTCCCCTGTCCCTTGTGACAGCGGTTTTGGTCGTGACTACATTGTTTTTATCAATACTTATCTTCTTCCCGACGGGACAATCAACGTTGCTAAAGAGACTCAGCGATGGTGGAAATGGCGGCAGGCAGACAAGACGTGTGGCTGCCTGTCTATTGCACCTCATGTATCAAAAGACGGAGGATGGCAGGACTTTGTTGTGGTGCGTGTGTTGTCACCGCAAAGAAATCGTAGCATGCGATGTGTTCAAACGGAACTCCGTGATGTTCGGTTTGTTTTTCCTTGTGTGGGGCAAATTTCTGTCCTTCGCGTGGTGGAAAATACGTTCCTTTGGGGAAATCGGACTCTAGCTTCAGTGGCACAGCAAACAGGCTTCGCTACAGCGCGGCCGCTGTACCCACGACGATATTTTGGTCTTTCCTCAACGTTGAAGTGGACAGGAAGAGGCGTTCGTATCGCTTTGTTGGATACGGGACTTGATTCGCATCTACTTCTGTCAGAATCATCATCACTTGAACAGCAACGGGATTCAAAGGGAACAGGTGGCACAAGAAAACCTCTTCTTATGTGTACAAGCTTTGTGCCGGGTTTTTCGTGCGAGAATAACCAAGATGGGCATGGCACCTTTAGCGTCTCCTTGATGGCTGGAAACATCTCATTATTGGAGTGGAATCGAAATAAGAGTGTTTTGGAGGCAAAACACATGAAGTCCGATGACAAATTTATCGCAGAGAAGACGGGACTACTTTCTGCTCGCTCGCAATACCTCGGGATGGCGCCAGGTGCGGATGTTCATATGCTGCGTGTTTTTGATGACAATCGTGATACTCGCACCGCTTGGTGTATAGCCGCGTTGAATTTTGCTCTTCAGTGGGGTGCAAATATTATAAATTTGTCATTTGGAGGCATCGACTACTATGATGCCGTCTTCACAGAGAAAATTACGGAAGTGGCGACGAAGGGCGTGGTGGTGGTGGCTGCAACAGGTAATGAAGGTCCCAGGATGGGATCTGTGCATAACCCTGCAGACCAGAACGAAGTGATATCGGTGGGATCGCTTGGAACACGTGGAAGACGTCTTATTTCACGTCGTGATTATTATGAGGATGGTGATGATAATACAGAAATGAACAAATCTTCTATACGCTTACCTGTGCGGTGGGTTTCAACGTTCTCCGGTAGGGGGCCGAGTACATGGGAGATGCCATATGGAACGGGCCGACCAAGACCGGATCTCGTGGCGCTGGGCGAGCACGTTCTTGGTGTGGGACGCGACGAGGGGTCTGGTACGTTGTCACTACGCGTTTCGCACGGCACGAGTGTGGCCGCCCCGATTGTGGCGGGAATTGTTGCACTTTGCATTGACGCTCTTCAACGTTTACATGGGAACTGGAAGGCAAATATGAACGTTGCAGTAATAAAACGGGTACTGATGGAGACGGCGGTTGAGATTCATCCGAGACTGTCCGCACTACGCTTCATGGAAGCGGCGCTTCACAAAGAAGAAAAGGAATTGTTGGCCCAACGGAAAAGTGACTGGTGGCGTCGGGGTAGAAATACGTTCCACCGTCGTGATGGCATTGCCATAACGCGGACTCTTTTTCACTACCGAAATGTATTGCAGTACAGTCGCATGAGCCAAGGAGCCGGAGAGGTGTGCCCGATGTGTGCACTTTCATGGATCGCAGAAGAAGGGCAAAGTCGAAAACTTTTGAGCGGGTTTGCCTTCCCCAGGGAAATTGAAGCCACAGGCGAGCATCAGCTACCATATGGAGAGGCGTCACCATCTTCATTGCCTCTTTGTTTGCTCAACTGGCCTTATTGCGAGCAGCCCCTTTTTCCCTCGGCGACACCAGTCGAATATAATATCAATATTTACTATCCACAATGCCCTGCAGCACGTCTTGCCCAAGCCACGCCATGGATACGGATGACGAGTGCGCGGGGTATCTGTAGCGCTCATAGGCGTGAGCAATGTCAGGCCTCCATTGTAGATCTGACCACCGCTAAACAGCTTTTATTTCTGCGGGCACATGCACCGCAAATCCTAGAGGCGTACAGTGGGGTGATCTCTCTTTTTGCCTTATCACCATCCAATGCATCCAATGTCCGACTGAAATCATCACCCACGGAAATTTTGGAGGCGGACGACAGGGAGAGGGTGCTGGGACATTTTGATCTTATTGAGGTGTCTGGCAATGTCAATGTGGTGTACACCTGCAATGCATCTTTTCGTGGGATTCTGCGGAGAACAAAGGAAGATGAAACAAGATTTGCATCGGAATGGGTGACCATACCGTTTAAGATTTCTATCGTACCACGACCTTCACGTGCTCAACGCATGGCTTTTGACATTAGTCATCAATGGTTTTATCCACCTGATTTTATACCTGGCGATGATTCTCGTCCTGAACCCATGCATGGCAAAGAACAACAGCATAAGAAACGTCGAGCCCCTCGTGAAAGTCACGGTGTCTTTGAATGCGATGGCGATCATCCGCACACAAATATGGCACCACTCCTGCTGTATCTTCGTCGAGAAATGAAGCTGTTTGTTGAATTGCCCCTGCTTAGTTACTTTTCTTTTGGACTTCACCGGAATGAAACAATACCGACACCATCCTTGCACTGGCGCAATGCCTCGCGGAGTTACTACAGCAGCATTGGAACATTGTTGTTGGTCGATCCGGAACTCCCACTTTTGAAAGAAGAGCGAGCAGTTTTTTCAGACGCCGTTTTGCTGTATCAACTGAATGTGGTGATCATCAGCGAATGGTACAGCGAGCAAGTAGCACGGGGTCTCTCCTTTTACGATTTTACTCGAAATCACACGTGGTCGCCCTTATTTTTGACAAAAAGGGGTGAAATGGTGGAATCTACCATAGTCGACGAAGAACATGAGAGAAATTCACATGGTCTGAAGGGCGCTTGTCATGTGCCTTCGCTAAACAAGTTTCTGTGCGAGATTAGCGAAGGGTCGCTTCAGCTTGACGAGGAGCGAGTTGTGGATGGCGAGCTGGTGCTTGCAACCTCCTCCTCTTTTTCTCGGCGTCACACTGGATGGGGTGAGCAGACGGTGTATCGCCATTTTCCTAGAATGAACTCTGCAGGTATGTTACGTTGGCCTCCGGCAGGAAGTGGCTGTTTCGCACGTGCATCACCGTGTGGAGAAATTGTGAGAACAACGATGGTGTGCGGCATGGAAAGGGCGTGGGCGAACGAGTTGCATGAATTTACAAAGTCCGAGGGGAGAACACGGGGAGATGAGGCATCCAGCGAGGCTGCGGATGTGTGGAGGCAGGTGGATCCAGGTGTATTTATCCCACTTTTTGGTTTTGTCGGGGTGGGCAACAGTGATACGGACAAAGAATGCGGAAGGAGCTCTGCAGACGGTATGAAAAGATGTGGGAGGGGAAGAGGACGCGTCGCTGTCTTCACGGATACCAGCGGCTTTGGTTCATCCTCCGCTTCCCTTCAGGCTTCGCTGCGTGTCTTGGACAAATTGTTTTATGACGTCTCCTCTCAATTGTCCGGTAACACTGGGGTCGAGGTGGTTGTACCCCCACGTGTACGTGAGGCAATTAAAAACCTTGTGATTCATGAAAGCGAGGCTCCCTCTTTTACGTTTAGTATCATACGTGACTTTTTTCATTTTGTTTACACCGGAGATGTTCCCGAATTTACAAATGGCGCTGAGTGTAAACGCAGTGGCGGCCACATGCATGCGGTCACAACTCCGGTGGAAGTGAACGTGAGGGAATATGAGGAAAACGAATATGAAGAACTTCTGTCGGCTCTTTTTGCCTCGGCGCCGCGTCGAGTGGCTGTGGCAAGGCGGCTCCGTGAGGTCTTTAGTGGGTGGGAGACCGCCGTGACGGTGGCCGAAGATGATTGCATTTTTAGAAACAACGAATTTCATTTCAAGGAAAAGAACACGCACGAGGCGGCGATGGAATTGGTTTTATTCGTCTGCTTGTCGCTTGTTGTTCTTGGGCTGACGTTTATCCTGCTTTGGAAGCGGAAGAGGGTACATTGTGCTTTCCGTGGAATTTTGAAGTCTGATAAGGTGTACAGTAAGAGGAAGAAAGAGGAGAAAAAAGGAAAATGAATGCATGCGTGCCTTTTACCTCTCCATTTACATACACCCATGTGTACGCGTATGTTTATGGGACAGGATGGTCAATTTTTCAGCGCCGTGTTTCATGCGTGTATTTTTGTTTGTTTGTTTGCATGTCCTTTGCTTCCCCTATGCCGGGTGTTTTATCCCCTTTTATTTATTGACAATTGTGATTTCTTTATTATTATTATTATTATTATTATTATTATTATTATTTCTGCGAGCGGAGTCAAGTGCCTGCGCCCGCTCTGTACTGGTTTCATGTCATCGGTCGGCAAAAGTCATTTCTCTTTTATTCGTTTGTTTGTTCTTTTCCGGTGTGTGTGTGTGCGGATCGTGCAGGGTGAACATTACGAGATGCGGCACAGTAGTGCGAGGCGGTCTTCTCGTGGCTTCGTGAAGCATTCACCGCCCATTCCATACACAGCTTCCTCGCCTTTTTTTACGGATGTGGGGAAGCCGAGGGGCTTGCAGGCACGCAAGGTCCTTGGCCTCGTTTCGCGTCTTAAATCAGCCGTGCTACAGAAGCTTCTTCCCATTTATCATCCCCCAATAAATTACGGTGACATTCTCCGAGAAGTGCCGTATTATGTTCAAACTCGTGTCGTTGCCTTCTTCTCAATTCACCCAAGTTATTGCGAAGATGTGTTTGGTGTTTCCCATGGACAGTGCATCCGCTTTACACGGGGGCCGTGGATGAATGAAACGGCTATCATCGTCGGCGTGCGTGGTGGCAAGCTCTGGATTGTGGGTTGTGATGGCCCCATCGTGGCACGCCCTCTTCGCGAGGTACAAAAACATGGGTGGGAAAAGGTACGACCGGAAGCCACGCTACTGGGGCGGTTCCGCGAAGGACTTGTTGGGGCACGGAAAGATGTAGAGTTGGATTACAGTCCAGAGCAACGGGAGTTTCTGCAGAAGGCACCGGACTTGTATGCAGAAGTCGTGGACGATGAAGTGGCCGGGGGCGAGGAACTTGATCCTGTAGAAGTAGGATGGGACGGACCGACCGCCGGCAGCCGCGGAGAGAGTGGCGGCGTTGCCCCGAGTGACGGTGTCGCCTCATGCATTCCTCCGAATAACGGTAGAACTGGGAACACGAACAATGACACGCGAATTGGTGAGTTTTCGACGGCTAGGAAGCGCATTGTTCTTGTTCCAGAGCTCCTGCAGTCCACGAATGATCTTGGCTGGGCAGGGGAGGGTCTTGTGACGGTTAACGGTGGTGGGGTGAAGTCCTTTTCTGCCTCCCTCTCCGCATCCGTCTTGTTGTAACGTCATGGAAAGAGAAAACACGGCCGGCCGCTTTATAGGGATGGGACGCAGTGGATGAGATGCATTGTAGAAACATAAAAAATAAAAAGAGAGAGAGAGAGAGAGACTGAACTCATGCGTACTTTTCACTGTTCGAATACAATTTTTTTTTTCCTTTACTGGGGCGGTGTAACTGTGAAAATGGGCCTGGGATGAAAAGAAAAAAGGGACGCTTGGATCTGTCTTAAGATTTGTTTAATGACACTAGGAGCTTCTGGAAAGAATGTGAATTGCTCGAGGCAGAAATAAATTAGATAGAATACATGCGCACGTAAACCTATATCATTTCACTTCATTTTTTGCTTTTTTTTTTTTTTTTTTGCGCGTGGGTGTTGTTGGATTTTCGTGGCGTGTTAGTGGGATCCGCATGGCTGCCACTTCTTGCACGTGCCTTGTAGGAGGAATTTATTGACGTGCTGGCAGGAAGTGATGGAACTTCTTTGGGGAAGGGGGGCTGATGACGCCTGCTCTTTTTACCGGTTGTGTATTTGTGAGACCTTTGAAGGATTCGAGTGCAATCAACAGGAAGAATAAAACCAGGAAGGAAAAGAAAGGAGTGAAGCATGAAATTTGGGTAAAGAGTTCGTGTACCACCAAACCAAACGCGGTATATTCTTTTGGATGTATGCATAGAAGCTACTGTTTTCTCTTTCTTTCTCTGTGTGTGGAGGGAGAGGGGTTTTGGCAAGGTTTTCGGTGAGAAAGAAAAAAAAAAAAGGAATAAGAAGGAAGATATATATATTTATTTATTTATTTATTTTTTATATTTTATTGCCGGCATGTACATGCATACACACACTTATCTACACACGCCCTATACGCACATACGTATATGTGAGGGTAATATTGTTCTTGCCCAATGTATATTTGTGTTGTAGTGACTTGTGACAAACGCACACGTATTCCTTTTATTTTGTTTTGGTACGGATATTCTTTCTTTTTTTTCTTTTTTTTTCTTTCTTGAAGGGTGGGGTGTGTGGGTGGGTCAGCAAGTTGAACGCATGAGGACGGCCTTGCGGTATCGGTTAGGCAATGTGCGGGAGTCTGAATTCACAAGGGCACGACGACTTATCAATTCTCATGATCCATTGAGCACGCAGGAGCAGGTGCAGGTGCTTCATTATCTTGCAGCATCCATGCGCTCAAGTGTGACACTCCTCCGTGTTGTTGCTGTGCTTCAGATATTTCTGGCCTTTCTGTTTATTGCCATGTTGGCAGCTGGTCACCCACTTGTGTACGCCGTCATCGATGATGCTCCACCATTGACATTTGGAGGGACCGTTGCGATTATGACGTCGTCTATTCTTTTAGTGGCAGGTGGGTTGTATGACATGCGTACGTGTCGTCGTACTCTTTACATTGATGAGGCCGCACTCGTTGAAACGAATCCCGGCAGAGAACAAGAGACGGGCGTGCATGCAGGGAGAAGGGACGCATGTACGGCAGCGTTGGTAGTGACAGAACCGCCGCGGTACCATTACTTTTTGGGTTTTCTCGCTCTTTGGCCTACGGTGTATTGGCTATATGTGATGCGTGTCTATCACACACACATGGCACAGCAGGGACCCGTGTTTTTTGGGGTTGCAGACAACTGGGTGGAGTTGGTGCTGGTGCTGTGGCAGCCCGTGATGCACTTTGTTTTTGCAAGGACACTCCGTTCCATCGTTACCGGAAAGAATGACCTCCTGCGCCTCGCAAAGATGAAATACCGCTACGACAAACTGTGAGTGGGCGATCGTTGTTGTTGTTGTTGTTGTTTTTTGTGTATGTGCCATGATACCTGTTTTTTCCTTCAATGCGATGTCAGTAGGGTGTATGTCTATTTGGTTCTCACGTGCATCCATTCCCTAAACCCTCATTATTTTCCTCTTTACATGTTCCTGCACACATAAACATATAATATATATATATATATACATGGGGGAAGGTGATAATACAAACATAAATAGCAAGGAGGAGTGGGGAGGGGCATGTCCGTGGCGGTACCCAATGAAAGGGCTGAGAAGAGAAGCAACAGAAAGCAGAGTCATTTAGAGAAGAAGCAGCACAGTAAACGCGATGCGCAAAGGGGAGAGTCTAGTATGATGCATGGCGGCCAGCTGAGGTATATGCGCAAAGGTCCCGTCACAGCAGTAAAGGACAAACACGGGAATACCGAGACGGTGCACGATGGGGAACGCTACGTTGTTGTCATTACGAATGTCGAGAATGATTTTGCACAAGTGCACCAAAAGGCCTTGCCACAGTATTGTTGTCTGAACGAGCAGCATCATCACGGCCCACAGCAGCAGGCATTGTCGGCGACTGTAAAGGGCATGGATAAGGAGGCATCAACTGCGTTGGGAAAAGAAGCGAAAAGGCGACAATGCCGCTACACAGTCACTGCCCGCACGGAGACACGCTCCGTTGAAGTTGCCGTTTATGGGAGGGCGGATGGCGATGTCTCGAGCGTGTACCTCCCACATCGTGCCGGCATGCGTGAGAAGAAACAAGGCCATCAGACAAATAAAGAGAAGGTTGTAGGTAGGGGTAATGGAAAAGAAGAAAAAAAAGGTGTTGGTGTTAGTGGTGGTTCGCCGATCAAGTGTGTGGCTGCCCCTGTAGGGAATAATCCAGTTTTTGCCTCCCTCGAAGACATGGTCATGGCACTCCGCCACGCGCCGTACTTTACGCATCCGCCAAAGTTTCTTCTTAATGTGCCAGGCAAAGAAGATGGTGAGGTTCTGCGGGGGGTAAAGCCACGTAAACGGCGTCGGAATGCCACCACCGATGAGGAAAAGGAAGAAGAGCACCAAAGCGGAGAGCCAACCCCTGGCGATGCAAAGAACTTTTCGCCTCTCCTCCAATCTACGGTGCGTCAGGCAGAAATGATCACTGCTGTCGCGACAACGTCGACGCGGATGCACACAAAAGAACTTTGTGACCAGTTAAAAGAAATCCCCGGTTTTATCACCTGCTGGATGTTGTACCCGCAGCACTTTCGTGTGCTGTTTGCTTCAAGGAAGACACTCTTTCGGGCGAAGGAGCTTCTGGACCAGTTTGAGGTGGACGGCCACGTGCGGGTGACGCTCACACTTTCAGACGGTGCCGCCAAGGCGTTTGCGGAGCACCTGGCCTCGGTGGAAAACACGGTATGAAGTGTGCAAATACGCAGAGGGAGAAGAAGCAAGAGGGGGAGTACTTGACGGTGTTATATCTATCATTACTCCCTGCGCATGGAGAATGCACCCCAGTGGGGCCTGAATGCTGCGAGGATGAGCAGAGCATGATGCATGTATTCTGCCTGTTGTTTTGTAATGGAAGAAAAAAAGTGGACAAGAAAAGGTGCTTAACGATTAACTCAGCGACACCGCGCGTCTCCGAATACGGTTGTGGTTAAATTAAATGAGGAAATGTTTTAGGCGAGGGAAAGAGAAAAAGGAAACAAAAAGAAGTGGATGTGGACCGAAGAATAAATGAGTGAAATGTTTCATGCATCCAGAGGGAAGGAGCACAGACGCAGTTCATGGCAAAAAAAAAAAAAAAAAAGGAGGGGGGGAGTTTTTGTTGTTATTTACCTTTGTTTTTGTTTTTCTCTCCACATATATATATCCACTGATTTTGCGTGTGTGTGTGTGTGTGTGTGTGTAGAAAGGAAAGAAGCGAGGGCAGAGGAAAAAATAAATAGATGGCTCGGCGGCAGCGTGTGCCACGCCACAAGGAGCACGGGCGGAGGCGCAACAAGAACCCGAAGTTGTCTCCATTCCAGCGGGAGCAGAGGCGCAATAAGATGGCCAACCAGCCGCCGGTGTCATTTGGCAAGAATGGCAGCCAGCGTGATTACCCCATCAGTCAGAGGGCGGTGATGAAATTCCTCATGGCAAAGCAGAAGCGGCTGCAGGAAAGGCACCAGCAGCGACACGAGGAGCAGCAGAAGAAAGAAATAGGGGAGCATCAGCAGAGGCAAACAAAAAAAACAACAGGCGATGGGAAATTGTGTGAAGACAACGGGGAGGTTTCCCCTTCTCCCGCCACCCACTCATCCATGGCTACCGCTGCTGTGGAGGCGGTGGTGGGGAAGAAGAAACACCATGCGAAGAAAGCGAAGAAGACGTCACTTACAGCACCCGTGGCACTCAATGAAGAAATGGCTGCATCCCTTGCACGCCCCATCATGGCCTTTAAGACGCTGGCGGAGGAGGAGAGGGGGGAAGCGGAAAACGCATTGGTAGCCATCATTTCAAGAAAGAAGGAAAGAAAGCATCGGAAGAAGGCGGAAGCCCGGCGGGAGCGAGTGAGGGAAGTACTTCGCGAGACGGAAGAGCAGCTGAGAGAAGTCCTTTCCAGCAAAGGTGGGAAGAAGCGGAGGAGGGAATATCCGGTTGACCCCAAGGATGCCGCCTTCGAGAAGAAGCTAAAGCAGATGCAGAAGGAAAAGGCAGAGGAGGCGGTGGCGGCTGAAAAAAGCGTTGCGGGGAAAAACATAAAACAAGACCGCAGCGAAACTGAGAGCCAGAAAAGAAAACGCAAGCGGATCACGTTCTTAGATGAAGGTGCAAAAGGGGGTGTGGATGTCCCTCACAGTGCGATGCGTTACCCGAACGACAAGGGCGCTAAAGTGCCCCGTGACTTCTGTGAGTTGGTGGATGTTGTACGGTTCGGCGAACGCGTGGAGGCTCCTCCTGTTTTTGACGTTATTCCGCGTCACGACGCCTCTATCACACGTCTTGCCAACCGAATGGAATCCTCCTCCTGTAGGAATTTCCTCAAGGGCGGAGTTGCGTCGTCGCAGAAGGAACGTTTGCAGATGTTGTCATCGGTTGGTGGGGTGGGAGAAGAAAGGCGACTTGAGCGCCTCGGCCTGGGGCCTGTTAGCACTTCTGCGGCTGCGGCCCGCCGCACAGGCGCGCCCAAGAAGCTTTCTAAGGAGGAAGAGATGCGGCGCTTGCGTGAGGCTGTCATGGAAGCATACCGCCGCAAGAAGCGTATAGGGGCGGAGGCACGGAAGGGGGTGGACATGCATCATCAATTCCCGATATTCTCATGAGCGGTCCATTATTATTATTATTATTTTGGTTTAATTTCTCTTCTTGGGTCTATTTTGCCGCCTCAAACTTTTGCCTGGGCGTTCTTCCTTTTCTGGATATCTTTGTTGTTGTTGTTGTTGTTAAGTGCAAGATAAATTTTCCGCTTAAGATACATACCATACATATATATATATATGTCCTCTCCCTCTCTATTTACCTTCACATTGTATTTCATCATACGTGTGAGGTGTATTTAATGTCGGTACACGGTGCGGTGGTGATTCCCTTCACTTCCGTTGCGGTTTATTATTATTATTATTATTTCTCTCTTTCTTTCAATTTGACAGACTTTTTTGCGTTGCCACGGCACCCTCCACATACATACATAAGCACAGGCACGGTGGACAAGCTGGGGAGGGGGGAAAAAAAGGAGGAAAAAAGTTGTCGAGGCGCTGACGGAAACGTCACTCAAACAAATCAAAAGAGATAACGTGTGGACGGTTAGTGTTGTGTATTTACATAAAAAAAAATAAAAAATAGAAATAAACAAAAAATATTTGTCCGATTAAAATTTGGAAAGGAATAAAATAAAGAAAACATTTATTTATGGAACGTCACTGGCATGAGGTGCTTATCCAGAACGATGAGGCGGACAGACATTTTGCAACCGCTGCCCCGCTGCTTGTAAAGGCACTTCGTTTGATTGCATCTGTGCGGGCGTTGCCACTTGCACTAAATGTCTCATGGTGGGAATCTGAAATTGCCCGTGTTGATGACTCGCGTCTCGTGCACCGCAAGGCCCGCGAGCAGGCACGGAAGCTACGCGAAATATTAACGCCCCAATTGGAGTCTATCTACGGCTCTCTCTCGCATCTGCAAAGTGCAAAGGTGGAGTCGCAGCATTCCCACTCCCTTTTACGCTGCCATGAAGGTTTAATTGCGCCACGCGACATGACGATGGACACCCTTTTGGAGTCGCAGCCGGTTTTTGACTACAAAAACTTCCGTGCACAGTTTGAGGGACTTTGCCAGGTGATGGCCAACTCATTGCTCTTCTCCGCCTGTGAGCCCCGCATCAAAGTGCTGCAGAGTCGCTATCGTCTGTATCGTGCCTTTAATGGCGTGCGTGAGGATGATTTTCATCCAACACTCGGTGGAGGGAGCTACGATCGCGCCCCGAAACTTGACGTGCGACGCATTGGAAGCTGCATGTCGGCGAAAACATTGGTGGAGTTCATGCAGCAGACGCTAGAGGAGGAGCCGGAAATGGTTCTTCCTGCACGTGACGCAATTTCACCCTTGAGTTTGGGAGCCAAAAAAATCGTGTAGAGCCGGA